GCCCAATGGCTCCCTTCTCTCCTGGTGGCCCAGGTGGCCCAGGAGGCCCGACAGACGCAGGGCCAACTGGCCCAATGGTCGCGTTTTCGCCTGGTGGGCCACATGGCCCAGGAGGCCCGGTAGACACGGGGCCAATGGGACCCTTTCCTCCTGGAGGGCCAGGACGCCCGGCAAACACTGGCTGCCCGGAGGAAACACATGTCTCTGCAAAATAGATTTGATCATAAGCTTCCAAGAGATTAAAAGATTAAGCATAGAATTACTAACATCATATGTTGGATATATAAATATGGATGACAGTAAGCTTTTGGCCTTTGCATACATGTGGATGTATTGTTACATGATTTGGATACACACAATTGTACAATACAAAAAGTACATAAAATTAGTCTATAGAAGTTCTCCAATATGATAGAAATGCCAGTTACTGACGTTCCAGCTCTGCAAGTCGCTGCTCGGTTTTATGGTTCTGCTTTTTCAAATCCTGAAGTTGCTTTGCCGTTTCCGCAGACTGATTGAAGGCTTTGACTATATTGAGCAGAAGTAGGAGGATTAGGAATAATAATCACATGTAACGTTTTAAAAGCGCTATCATTTTCAAGGGGTTTAAGTAAATATTTCATATATTTCAAGACATATTGACGGCCGGCGTTGACTATATTGAAGAAAATAGGAGAAAAATGGCATTAGCGTCTAATACATGTAACGTTATAACAGCAATTCCAAAGTTTTCCGAAGCAAAAATACAACATTGCAATTGAAGCTTGAAAACGTGTTCTCGAAACATAATGGGTGCATGTTTCTGCAAAGAAACTTACCCGAAAAGAAAGACAAAAATGACATTAAAAATGCTAGTACTACGTTACATGTATTAGTTTTCAAGTATATTGCAACTAAACAACACTGCAACTGAAGATTGGAAACGTATTCTCGAAACATTCCTAATGATTAATGCCTTCGTTATTCTGCAAGTACTTTTAAGAAACTTACCTGAAAAGAATGACAACAGAATGACGATCACCACAGCGAACACAAGGCCTGTGATCTGCCATAGTTTGTTGCGCAGGCACCAACACTTGTTACCGTCCGGGGGCGTATCGTAGGCGTCTGTTAGGACAAGAATATTCATGTTTACCCTCACCACGACGTGTTTTACATGTTTTACATGTTTTACATATTTTTTGCTGATGTATAATGAATAAATGATGTAACAAAAAACAAAAACGCCGCATACCTCAGATCGATCTTCTAGCCTCATTAGTGTAAATACAAGGGACACACAAAGGGTAGTAGCTAGCGCTAACATCTCCTTTCTACTAAGACTACCGAGTGACCAGAGATTTCTTCGAAAAGATTATAACAATAATAAAAAAAACAATAAAAGCAATTTTTGCCGTATTGTGTATTTTCTTGTCTTTTCAATCCTATTTCATTTATTGCATCATATTCATTAATATTGAAATCATGGTTCGCACAATCAAATCCTGGTCACTGTACGGGCGCTCAGCGATCGCCGTACGCCTAGTAGAAAGGAGCATCAAAGCAAAACAGCAGCAGAGTTTTGCTACTTAATAATCTGAAAGTTATTAACCTGATCTGGAGACGTACAACGAGTTTGCTATGTTTGCGCTGGCGTTCGCAACGGACCGCCAATCAGTCTGGTCCTGCTGCTTGGGTGTGGCACCTGACGAAAAATTACAAAATCATGTTCATCCCGATTTTTTTTGCGGAATAACCAGAACTGTTCGATTTTCAAAGTCTGTCCACAGCTGGATTTCGATGTTATCAGTTCGAATCCGGTTGGCTGTGTCGCTCACACGACGTACATGCATGAGCGATACAGCTAGGATTCAAACTCATGACTTTTTGGTCCAGCTGTATGTGAATAGTTATGTTGAGGAAAGCTTTATGTTAAGGAATGTCAAAAAACAAACAACATTACCTTCTGTGTCACCAGTCTGGGACTGCTGCTGCCCTCCCGACATGGTGCCACCTGTCAGGTTTCTGGACAGCAAAAACACGTCCTTCACCGGGTAGGTGCTAAATAACAATAACTTGCTTGTGCATGGCAGCATGCACAGAGCGAGACTCAAAGAAGTTTTACCTCGACTGAATGGAATTAAAAATGAAAGATAAAAGCAAATTACAGCCACAGATTGCGCACGATTTGCAAACATAAAACATCTCGCGTAGGCGAGACTTATCAAATGAACACGTAATCAATTGCTACATATTGAAATAGTCGGCTTCAAAAGGAGCTACTGCTGTATTGATCACTGCGTCTGAAAAAAAGTTTTTTTTTCTTAAATGTTAAGCATCCTTAAACTGCTGCTGCCCTCCCGACATGATGTCTCTTGTCAGGTTTCTGGACAGCAAAAACACGCTCTACACCAGGCAGGTGCTAAATAACAATAACTTGTTTGTGCACAGAGCGAGACTCAAAGTAGGTTTACCTCGACTGAATGGAATTTAAACAAGAAGCCATAGGCGACAATCCTCCTTGAAATTTTATATTTTGCAACAAAAATAATTCCAAGCGTCAACGCCAGACCTACTCTGCAGACATTAGGCAACGGTTAATACAATGAGGGCGCGTCACAATGATAAAACATAAAAAGACCCAAATCCAGCATTACTGCTCCTAGGGCGTGTAAAGATACTGTGCTTTAAGTTCGAAGTTCATTTCAATTACACACACACAATCATTGCATTCACATAAAGATCGGACTATCATTATCTATCATGGCCGTGTCACTAGTAACAAAGACAGCCCCACCGTCTTACCGTGCCTGTTACTTATTAAGCGCGACTGGCCATGCCAAAGTCCAGCAACAGTTGCGGCCAGCACGCGCGAGTGTTACTGCCGCCGGTCAGATGCCCGGGCAAAACCATTTTAACGACATTATAGGGATGTTTCAAAAATAAGCATTTACTCCAATATCAAAACTGCTAGGGTAAGAATAAAAAGACGTGCATCAACACGGGCATAATGGCACACCACATGCCAAATTACACAGAAATGCTACGTACGGAACAATGCGTTTTGGCTGCGAACATCTATGGTACCACTTATCGACCCTCCGCACGTCTGCATGAAATTCCACCCCCCCCCACTGCTATTTCAACAACGCGTTTTTCTGGACCATTCCAATTCGCCTCGTAATTGTAGGGGTGCATCTGCAATATTGCATTGACCGCGAAAGCAGCAACGGTAAAAATACACATCCGTGCATCAACACGGGCATGCCCGCAGACGGCGTATAAAATTGCGTGCCGATTACACAAAGAGAACCCAGTGTTTTGACTTCGAACACGAAAAACCAGCCGTTCACAACACTCCGTCCGGAGGTCCTGACCTCCTTCACGGAGTAACAAGAAGCCATAGGTGACAATCCTCCGTGAAGTCTTATATTTTGCAACAAAAATAACCCCAAGCGTCAACGCCAGACCTACAGCCCCATCGTCTTACTGTTCCTGTTATATCACTTAAATAAGGAATACTTATCATAAGCAAATAATCTGAAACAGTTGCCCGACAAACATTAAACAGTTACATAATGGCCAACAGTTGCACTTTGTGGCCCTTTATCAGTAAAGCGCGACTGGCTTGGCCAAAAACCAGTCAGCAATATTAATTAGCAACAGTTGCAGCCAGCACCGCGAGTGTTACCACCGCCGGTCACATGCCCAGGCCAAAACATCTCAACGACATTACGGGGATGTTTCAAAAATAAGAATTTACTCCAATATCAAAACAGCTATGGTAAAAATAAAAAGACGTGCATCACCGCGGACATAATGGCAAACCACATGCATTACACAGAAATGCTACGTACGGAACAATGCGTTTTGGCTGCGAACACGTATGGTACCACATATCGACCCTCCGCACGTCTGCATGAAGTTCCACCCCCCACTGCTATTCCAAACAACGGGTTTTTCTGGACCATTCCAATTTGCCTCAAAATTTTAGGGGTGCATCTGCAATATTACATTGACCGCGAAAACAGCAACGGCAAAAATACACATTCGTGCATCATCACGGGCATGCCCGCAGACGGCGTATAAAATTGCATGCCGATTACAGAAAGAGAACCCCGTGTTTTGACTGCGAACACAAAAAAAAAACGGCTCTTCATAACACTCCGTCCGGTGGTCCTGACCTCCTTCACGGAGTAACAAAGTAATACAACCTTCTTGAATAATTTTTGTGTCCGACCTTGCGACTTGGACGGCTTTTGATGTCACCCGATCCGCGCTCTCTCAGACTCTCTCTAATTAAAAATCAAACCCTCGAGAAGTTCTTTTTTTTTTCCTACATGTAGATAGGGGAGGTTGACGTACGGAGTTACGGAAGAGATCTTAAAATATTGTGTAGAACAAGGAGGCGAAGCATAATGAATGAATGAAAACCTTTATTGCAAATTTATGCTCTTTCGAGCTAAGTACAGGTCATGAAGACAAACTAAGTAATACTATTGTTTACAGGATCGACTTCTTCTCGCTTCTTAAAACAATTGTAGATGAATGAACATATAGAACTTACAAAACACGGCTTGTCTAGTTTCATAAGATATATAAATTTGTCTAAACTATTCAAATATTTAAAACTAGGAAACTTATTATTAATTAAAGTGTTCTTTACGCCTCAAATTTTGATAGATTTTCGTGTGTGGGAGTTTTGTAAATGGGTCAAAACAATGTCCTTGGTCAAAGGTTTTGTGAAAGAGTGAGAGTTTTTTGTTGTTGTTGTTGTTGTTTTCTTAATGAAGGAGGGGGCTTGCGTGGTTGTGTGAATGTGAGAATTTTTTGCAAAAAGAGTTTTGTAAAAAAAAGTGCGAGGGGAAAGAGAGAGAGTGTGTGTTCGAGCAGACCAAGGTTCAGATGGCAAATTTACTCACCTTCATAACCGGTTTTCCAACTTTTTGTAACCAAACTGAGGCCCAGAGGGCATTTGTAGACGAGAGATTGCACACGCGACCAGCGCCGGCTGTGCAATCGAAAATATATTTTTATTTTGGAAAAAAAGTTCTCGGCTTATCATCGAATGGACTGCCAACCGCAAGGACAAGAAAAAGGTAGGAAGGGAAGCAAAGTTGTATGTATAGATTTGAAGTGTAACGATCTGATATTGTCGCAATTGTGGCGATGCTCCCATTAGTACGGTGGTCCTAGAGCATCGCTCACAAAGTGGTTGATGTTAGTTTATTCCCAGTGTAACGGAGCTTACATGAAGTGTGAGCCTCTCTTGCACTGCTGGCCACAGCCAGGCCGAGACTCCTCCCCTGGACACAGCCAGGCCGAGACTCCCTAAGAGAAGACTGACTCAAGGTCTCATTCATGAGTTTTTTCCATACATTAGAAACCATGCATTAATGAGTGACTTACGAGACCGGGTTCCCTATGATCCTACATTTAATCAATTGGTATCTTTCATGCTATGTTGAGCACACTTACCCTACATCTCATAAAAAAATTGCCAGCGACTTCTATACACACAATCCCCTTTTATGGGAATTACAAACTGCACCTAGCGGCTGCCCGCAAGAGGCCCTCCCGCGCTGCAAACCTACGACCGCACGACTCACAACACTGGACTGTGCACGTCCGACCTACCGCGCGGCTACCGACAATTATGTCCTAATTTCCTCAGATACAAACAAGCTTTCACCGCTTTGACGTTTTACATCAGTTGCGGTGGCTAAAGGGAAAATTCTCACCAATAAAAACACGCGTTCATACAGCCGTTTAGTTTTTGACTTGGTACTCTTTTAGGGTACACTCGGAGTAATACATGAATGAGACCTCAAGAGAACGTCTCCAACGACAACTCCGGCTGTCCCTGATCCAAATTAAGGGACATGCCCACTCATCCTTGAATGAATGAACGTCCCACCACTGGCCCCGAAGGCGAAGCTGTCCCCAAATCTGTGCCATGCAGCCCGGAAAAAGGGACCACTACCATTCTTAGCCAAACTTCACTGTCCCACCTTAGGCAACCCAAGGCGAGCCGTGCAACCCCAGTGCTGCAGGGCAGACAGTACTATTAAATCTAGCCATAGGAACACATGCTTAAATACACTAATAGAAGTCCTCATGAAAGTACTTACCCACCAACTACTAATAATTTTTGTGTGACACATGAGAGATCCACTATATCCAAGATGGCCGCCCGGATGGAAAAACACCGATGTAACGTTACAAACTGTCGCGCTGTGGAATATTTAGGCTGATCTGAACATCGGCAACCCGGCCAATTGTGGGGTTATATCGTAGGGAAGCTCGGGACAGCAAAAAACCGGGTCAAAAACGGAGCATCGGGCAGCCAACGGGAAATATGCAGTTCTGCCAATGGATCTTTCCACAACTTTTGCTGAGGGTAATGCAATGTAAGCCCGAATAAAGAGTCGCCACGGCTAAACTTTGACCTACTTTTCCATGGTATCCATCCGCCTGGCCAGACAAGACCTAACCACTCACATCTCTCATTACGCCCACTAAACTGGTGAAATAAACAAAACTTGACCAAAGTAGGAAAGTTTAGACCCTACCTGTGCCTTCCAGCCAAAAAATCTCCAAAATGGACCAAAACTTTCAAGAGAAAAACGGACTTTAAAAGGTATTAACTAGGCACTACAATCGTTTTGGCCTCCACTGCGCAGCGCAATTATGACGTCTGCCCTGCACCAATCAACCTAACTTCCTGTACCGTCCCCAGATGTCCCTACAGCGTCCCTGAATGCTGGATGACCCCGAACGTCCCCAGTGCTGAAACTACATTGATCAAATATAGATAGACACCAACTACTAAATCAACCGTTACCTCATCCACTCCGTGACACAATCAACACTCAAACTGGCAGGTTTTTTTGCAGTCCACACAGGGGCGTACCCGAGGGAGTCTCTCACTCAAATACCGGCCTATAAACACATCATCAGCACACGCACAGACACCTACAGATTCTCTTTTTTCCCGTACTATTCCACAGTGGAACTCCCTGCCCGACCCGGTAGTTTAATGGCTCCCAATGTTGAGTCGTTCCGGGCCGGGCTGGTGGCCTGCCCTTAGCCTGGGCCTCCTTCCCCATTAAATCTTAGGCCATGTTGATTTGATTATATGGATGACATCCTCTGGGAATCCCAAAAACTGATGCGCGCGTGCGAATAAAAAAAAGTTTTGCAAAAAAAAAAAGTTAGCTTTCACTATGAAATCTACGTGGTCATGAAGGTTGAACAAATGGCACAGAATATGTTATGGCGAATAATCTACTCTTCGAATTCATTTCTTTACTATTTTTGTTCTTTTTTCCTTTTGTATTCTGGCATTCTTACGACATTGGTATCGTTTCTAAATGTTTTCCTTGTCAACTTATGGTAAATTTTTGTCTCATTTACCAACTGTTTTGTCACGATTTACAGTATGGTTGAAAACTTTTTATTTTTTTGGAAACGGCCGAAAATTCATGCGCGCGCGGATCGATGTCATCCATGTAATCAAATCAACATGGCCTTACCCGTACAGCGAATGGTCCCGCCCGCAGCCAATCAGAAGTGGCCGTCCGTTTGGCGCGTCACGGCGACTACAGCGCCGTCATGCGG